AAGAGTGGAATACGGAGGATGGACTCATTTTATTCCGAGGATTGGTTTATGTGCCCAATAACAAGGAAATACGTCGCTCAGTGCTAGAGATCTTCCATGACTCGCCTGCAGCAGGACATATGGGATGTGCCAAAACTCTTGAACTTGTCTTGCGGAACTATTGGTGGCCCCAGATGCAGAAATGGGTCAATGACTACGTAGATGGATGTGATCGATGCAAGCAAACAAAGGTGCTACCATCAAAACCCCATGGACCTTTGAAGCTGAACGAGGTTCCAGAAGGGCCATGGCAGACCATTAGCTGTGACCTCATCACCGATCTACCCATCTCCCAGGGCAAAGACAGTATCTTGGTAGTTGTTGATCGTTTCACGAAGCAAGCGCATCTTGCTCCGACCACCAAGAATGTTGATTCTAAGGGAGTCGCAGACTTATTTCTCAATCACGTATGGAAGTTACATGGGACGCCGAAGAAGGTGATCTCGGATAGGGGAACACAGTTTGTGTCCAAGTTCATGCAGGAAGTCTCGAAACGACTAGGAACCAAGTGGTCCATGTCAACAGCATATCACCCACAAACTGACAGGACAAACAGAACGAGTCAATCAAGAAGTCGAACAGTACTTACTGACTCTTCACATCCTACTGTCAGAATGATTGGGTTTCTTGGCTTCCAATTGCTGAATTTACGCATAACAACTCAGTAACCGTTACTGGACACTCCCCATTCAAATGTGTCTACGGCTATAATCCCGAGTTTACGATTTCCCCCTAATTCTTCCCACACGATTCCCCATGCTGACCAGAGAGTAGCCAAGATGAAGGAGGCACAAGAAGAGACGAAAGCAATGCTGGAAATAGCGAACGATCGAATGAAGCGCTTTTATGATCATAAAGTAAAAAACACACCAGAATTCAAACCAGGCGACAAGGTATGGTTAGACGCGACAAATATCAAACAACGCCGTCTGAGCCAAAAATTGTCCGACCACCGTCTTGGACCATTCGAAATCGAAGAGAAGACTGGCGAGCCAAACTACAAGTTGAAGCTCCCAGTTAAATATCGCATCCACCCAGTTTTCCATGTATCGTTACTCACCCCACATCAAACCTGTCAACTCATTGATCGCCCACCTCTAATGCATCCACCGCCGGATATTGTTGATCAAGTCCCAGAATATGAAGCAGAGCAAATATTGCAAAGCCGCCTATACAGGCGCAAGTTGCAGTATTTAGTAAAATGGAAAGGATATGCAGAAGCAGAAGCAACATGGCAGTCAGAAGAAGATGTGAAGAATGCGCCACTCATTGTAGCCGACTTTTATGCAGAAAACCCAAATGCGGTTAAATCAGCACAAATTTCTGCCTCAATTCTGACAACCCCTGACTTCCTCGAATGGAGACAGAAAAACATACTGACCATCTTACATTCGCGAGGACGCTCATCCTAGAAAGGGGGTAATGTCACAAATTCCTAATATGAACCATTTTTCATTTCTCAGTTTTCCTTCGGCTACTTCCAGTACCCGAGCCGGTCACGTGACTCCTTGTCATAGATCACCTGTTGCTTCTCTGATTGGCTCCCCTACTCCACAGGGCTAGAACAATCTCACTTCCTAAAGAAGAACCGGTCGGATCTTGGGTTTCTATTTAGTAACCGTCTTACTTAGTCGCTTATATATCATGATGTCATACTTACTCATCCGCAGTATCGTACGACTCTTTTCTCATTGGTTGATTTCTTTCAGACTCCTACTCAATGTTATGTATAAAAGTAGGGTAGTTAGCGTAAGTGCTCCTTAGACTTAACCTCTTCGTTTCCTACTGTTGTAGTGACCTAGACATTTACGCTCAATCTATCCTGTTGCTCGTTATCATCTCTGACCGAGTCCTAGTGGTCGTGAACTCTCCTTCATCATTATTGGTGAACGTGGGTCATAACATGCTGGTGAACGCTGCTGCAAACTGAGATAGTAGAGCTTCCGTGGTGGGCATGCGTTTGGCCTCTGGAATGTGAATGGAGTCACAAAATTGAGTATAGCGCAAGAGACCTACACCATAGTTGCTGCACGTGTCTGTATCAAGAGAACAAATCATGACCTGGATGGGTGAGATGAGATGAGAGAGAGAACGCGAGAGGGCACACTTGAAAAAGGCGAAAGAGAGACAAGTTGGGATACTTCTGCTCAAGGGCAGTTTGCCAGTCTGTACCAGATGGAGTGGTCCACAAAAGTAGATGGTTGCTTGCAAGAATGAGAGGACAGTGCTGAGATGGGATGATGGATGAGCTAGTGTGTGGAGTGCACGGGGTGCATGTGTGAGTTTGCTGCAAAGAGAGGGAGACAGAATTGCGAACAAAGGATGGAGGATGTGCTGCCCAGAAGGCATTAGCAGTGGCAGTCAACATCTACGCCCTGCATGACCTGTCAATAGACATCACTTTCGTTCATTGGAGAAGAAAGGTTTGATTTCAGGAGGAAGGGAGGGGGGGAATGAGAGGTGCGATGTGACAGAGGGAAATATACCCCGAGATATGGGATCCACAAGGTTGATGGACATGTGAACGTACACAAGGGAGAGGGATATGCGAGATTCGTGTAGAAGTGCTTCTGAGCGGCGAATAGCCAGATTGATCATGAAATTGGAACAACGCCCTTTTTGAAAGGCAGCAATGACACCTTGATTGTCGCTTTGAATCAGGATATTGGCATGATGTATTCCCTTGGCGTGAATAAGATGAATGGCTAGTTCAATGGCTGAGGCCTCTAGCCAGCCAATGTCCCATGATGGACCACGCCGGTCTGCCGCCGTGCGCCAGAAGGCCCAGTGTTGGTTCCAGAGCACACCTATGCCCGTGCCTGTAGATGCGTCTACCCAGATGCCATAGTCTCTCGTGGGAGGAGGAGGAGATAGATCAAGCAGTGATTGAGAGGCGGTGAGCATGCCAAGCTACCATTTGAGATCTGATCTGGTGGACTTGCTGATGTAGCGAGGGTTGAACTCTCTAGTCCTGTAGGCGGACATGTCTGAGTATAAGTTGGAGAGGTAAGAGTGGCCATGAGGGAGCACAAAGGAGGTGTGATTAAGAAAGCCAGCGATATGCTCCAGCTCTCACTTTGGAGCCTGCAAGTCTAGACAATGAGGGAGAAACTTGGAAAAGCGAGCAATGTACTTGAGATGTTTGCATTCGACCAGTATCACGGTCTTGGCAGGCACGTCCCATAAGAAACCTAGGTATACCCCCGAGTCTAAGAAGGGCTGTCCTTTGTCTTTGTGCCAGGGAACTTTGGCAGGTGTGATGAGAGATTTGGTATGCGGGAGGTCATAGTTGTATCTGTGCATGGTACCATTGGATATGGCAGAGAATGCGCCATGTGGTGATGGAAAGCGAAAGAGACTGATATCATCAACCCACTTCTTGGAGGGTTTGACATCCAGCTCATGCAAGATCTGCACCGTCGCATCAGCAACTTCACCTTGCAGACCTGTGGCTGATGCTAGGCCGAATGGGATATTGTGATCAATGTATAATTTGCTGTCGTGATAGACAATGATGTAGCACTTGTGTTTGGGAGTGCAGGGGATACCGCAATAGGCGGCTTCAATGTCCAGGGTGGCGAATTGTGCACCTGGGGGAGCAGTACAAATCTGCATGATAGATGGTGAGAAGAGAGTGTATCAAGGTATGTTGATAGGATAATGCATAAGAAGACGCAAGTATGTGTACGTGTCCGTGCCTTCAAATGATGAATTATGTGTGTCAGGGATGACATGTAAAGTCATGGCAAAGTGCGTCCAGACAGAGAGGTACAGTGTGGGGAACATCCCCACTGTAGGCCTGTATCCCGTATAATTCTCAAGCCTTACCACCATCTTCCCGTGCATTCTGCTACCCATCCGTGTCTTACCCGACCCGTCTGCTACACAGAACCAAGCGGAACCCAGTGGAACAATCACGTACCACACACATTATACCCCTTTATCCTTCGGAACGTCCTCCTCCATCCTGTCCCTGTCCTTCCATCCTCACTGGTGAGTACTAGCTATGTTCCCCGTGTTACTAACATGTTCCTATCTCATTTCATATGTGTTACGATACTTATACGGATCCTTCTGCTACTTGGAACCAGTTCCTTATCTCACAGCCTCCCTGGTTGTAGCATAGCGCTTTCCGGAACCTCTTCCTATATAGATAGCAATAGATGGGATCTTAGTTTTTTACCTTCTGATAGACTCGACTCCACTTCCACTTACAGAGTACTTCCCAGTACTCCACTCACTGTTTAAAATATCTTCCTGATTCTATTCCTGATCTCATCGCAATGTTCCTACCTCCATGAGTTCCACTCAAAACGCCCGACATCAGATCCGACGACTTGGAGCAAGTACCAGACACAAGCCTGGTCCGACTTTGCCCAATCATCCTCCTGCAGGCTTGTAGTTTCCTTTTCCTCTATTAGTTCTGTTTGTTCCCCGTTTGTTCTGTTTGTTCTGTGTTAGTTCCGTTAGTTCCGCTTGTTGCGTACCTTCTGCATCTTTGTGTTCCCAGTCCTAGTAAGGACCAGAACCCTTCGGGTCGCTAGACAGAGTCTAGTCTTTGCTTTCCTTGCACTTACTTGAGGACCCACTACCCAGTAGCAATCCCCTCGGGACAAGTATTGGTCTCGCACCCTTGTTAGACATCTGAATCACCCCAGAGTCTATTTTCCTCACCCACAACAGGATAAGAGAGTTTGATGGGACTTATGATATCTGCAAATTCTGTTGCTGTGCCCCATTCCGTCAGGTAGTTGCTGGCATCAATCTTGTCATTGACGGAGTGACCCATGGAACCTGCATAGGTGAGATAGCATTGATACGCCTCTTGTCACAATAACAGATCAAGCATCAGTTCATTCTCAAATTGGGAGAGGTCGAGAAGGTGGTGTGATACGCCGTTGACATGAATTTTAGATCTTTTGAGGGAATAGCCTTCCCGGTGAAGGTGTTCTGTGTTAGCATTAGTGAACAAAGTGAGCAGGACAGTATTGTCCTGCATTAAGAAGATCCTGAACAAAGCTGTGAATGCCGAAGCTGTAAGTGGAGTCGATGCTGGAGCCAGAAGGAAGCTCCTTGGCTGTGCCAAACAGAACCTTCACAACCGAAGTAACACTGGGCCTGGAGATGACCTTGGGAATGATTGAGTCTAGAATGGCCGAGCCTTGCATTTGTGATGTGGGCGATAGTTTCGTGAAAGCAGAGATCCACTGTTGTAGGGCAGTCCCTGAAGGCTGAGGGGGAAGTGGGATCAAAAGCTCATCAGCTGGAACATTGATGTCTCCTGCATCTCTGCACGACTGTAGGGCTACATTATCTGTAAGTCGATGGGCATTTTCAGCCACAATTTGATCATGAGTCATGATCATGCCGGATGATGCGGTAGGAGCCGGTGTTGGATTGCCTGTTGGGGCTGAAGAAGTTGGGTTAGAAGTGGTCCGAAGAGCCAGACAGAAGGTTTGGGGTGGACATGAGGCTAATCAAGATTTGCGATGTCGTAGACATAGTGGACAAAAATGAGGGAACAACGCGCGAAATGGGGATGAGCGCAGAGACGAAGAGGGAATGAGGCATCAATTCTTGAATCAAGTCCTTTTGACTAGGTGCACTCAGGCATGTGTATAATTTAGATCAAAGCACGCTAGAGGAGAATCTTCACATGACCGCGTACAAAGGCCATGTTTCGCGTGTCAACACTCACAAGCTCGCAATCCACTTGAAATGGCCATCTGCTTTGCAGGCATTTGATTGTGTGTGAATAAAAATTCCACCATCTCAAATTCAACTTGATTGTTGTAAGGTGTACCAGTCTGTCAGGGGGTCATCCATATGAGGTGGTGGGGGTGTATCCTGGTTGATAAATGACCTGTTAGCATTGCATTTGAGTCCTAAGTCAAAAAAAAATGAGTGACATAGTATGACAGACTCCTCAAAAAACACTCACCTGTGAGGTGCAGATGGAATGTGCAGAATAAGTGCCCTATGTCCACCCAAGTACCTTCCTCAGGTACAAAGCCTCCATCCTCTTGCTTGCCCACTGTGTCTTAATGAAAATTCTCATTGATAGCCTGGTTTTCACCTGCTGGAGTGGGAGAATGACTCCTTGGAGGTATAAATCTGGGACCTGTGAGTGGAGCTGTGCAATTGAGGTCTCACTGTATTTGTGGGGTGCCGTACTTTGTATGTGTGTGCTGAGTGAGGCCAGATGTTAAGATCATGCTCAGGGGAGAGGTTACTCAAAGGGCTTCGGCTTCAGCTTGTGTGCTGTGCCCCTTACCCGAGTACGTGCCCTTAATTTCCGGGGGACAGAGGGGAAGTCCGATGGAAGTCTGGGGAATTCCAGAGGACAGAAGTCGGTGGAGTTTGGCGGAACTCCGGAAGACTATGTGGGGATGGAGTAAGGCTACTACGGAAGTCCAGAGTAGAAACAGAACAGAGGTTAGACTACCCTAAGGTAGAGCCGGAGAAGTAGTCCTAAGGTTTAACCCCTAAGACTTGGAGGTAGACAAGAGATGAGACTCAAGTCCGGAGATTGCAGGAATGAGCAGAACTAAGATGATATTCAAACTAAGGAGTTCTGGAGTATTACAGGGGTTTATATACTGTAGGTATCATGTAAGTAAATCAGTCAGCAAAGGTAAGGGCTATGTACGAAGCATGTGGAAAGTCTATTACTAAGTGTAACAGATCAAAGCAGTGAAGTCAGAAATGAAGTAAGAATGGATGGATCAGTAAGCATAGCGGAATAGGACATAACCGGTAACCGGAGAGCAGTGTTCTAAAAAGGAGATAGGTGTAAGTCCGGAGATGAAAATGGAGCGCTGGGTGGGACAGGGACAGAGAACTGGACTTTCATAGGGGAGAATCCGGAATTCCAGATCCGGAGGTATGGGATATAGTGTCGGAGAAAATAGGGGTAGTGTTGGAGGAGCGGAATAGAGTTGGGCAGAGGTAGCAGGGCTAGTCCTACTGAAATGCACTTCGTGCATTGTCGGAGAAGGAGGGATGGAGTGGATGGGGAAACAGGGGGTCGGACTAGTGGTAGGGATGTTCACAGGTGGTATTGGAGGTGCTTGGATCCGGTATGTGACACCAGACTTGTTTTGAAGACCCTGTTGCAGTTCAGAACTGACAAACAAGCCTGGTAACATCTGGGGCCATGTTGAGCAGTGAGCAGTCGCAAGCCCCTTCAGTGAATTCACCCGTCTCAGACGGGCAGCCGGGCGTGACAATGTACCAATAGAGATGGGCCACCCGGTGCCGGCCCATGGCAATAATTGTACCGTGTTAGACGAGTGGGCCGAGGGGGTGGAGTGTCCAAGGCAAACGGATGGGCCGGTGTATATAGTATAGATGGTAGTATAGCAATGTACTATATAGGAAATTATGAATAGTAGTAGTGAATCCAGTGTGTGATAGATGAGTGGGCCGGAGGAATGGAGTGCAATATAGACGAGTGGGCCGGGGAACTGGGGTGTGATGGAGACGAGTGGGCCGGTAAATGAGGTGCAATGGAGACGAGTGGGCCGGTACATAAGGTGCAATGAAGACGAGGGGGCCGGAGAATAGGGTGCAATTGAGACGAGTGGGCCGGTTATAGCAGGTGCAATGGAGACGGGTGGGCCGGTATAGCAGGTGCAATGGAGATGGGTGGGCCGGTAAATATGGTGCAATTAAGACGAGTGGGCCGGTATAGCAGGTGCAATGGAGACGGGTGGGCCGGTTATAGCAGGTGCAATGGAGACGGGTGGGCCGGTAAAGGAGGTGCAATGAGGACGAGTCGGCCGGTGTTATTGGGTGCAATGAAGACGAGTCGGCCGGTGATATGGGGTGCAATGAAGACGAGCTGGCCGATGATATGGGGTGCAATGAAGACCAAGTGGGCCGGTGATATGGGGTGCAATGAAGACGGGTGGGCCGGCATTATAGGGCGCAATGGAGATGGGTGGGCCAGTGATATAGGGTGCAATGAAGACGAGTGGGCCGGTGATATGGGGTGCAATGAAGACGGGTGGGCCGGCATTATAGGGCGCAATGGAGATGGGTGGGCCAGTGATATAGGGTGCAATGAAGACGAGTGGGCCGGTGATATGGGGTGCAATGAAGACGGGTGGGCCGGCATGATAGGGTGCAATGGAGACGGGTGGGCCGGTATTATGGGGTGCAACAATGACCGGTATTTATGTAACCGGTTGCTTGTGGTAACATAGCACTCAATCCGGCGATTCCACCGGTGGTCTGATCATGTAAAATGGTTAAGATTTGACAAAGTTATGAGCCCTACAAGGGAAAGCCATAAATTAGAGGATATTATGATATATTGTATCTAGACCATTGCAACCGGTATTTTTTGACCGGTATTTACATGACCGGGTTTGCTGTGGGTACATAGCACTCAATCCGGTGATTCCACGGTGGTCTGACCATGT